CGCAAGTGAATATATCCTCTTAAAATTTGGCACGAACAGAAATTTGTGAAAGCCAGTTAATCTTATGGATTACCAGTAATAAACCCCTGGGGATTGTTATTGTCCTTTCCTGTCAAGAGTTAATGATGGAACCCTGGAAGTTGTCAAGCCTAGCGTGATTATGGCGCCTTGGCCGTGTTGTTGACACAGTGCCCCCCCCCCCCTCCCTCCCTCTCTGGCTGGGGTGTGGGGGGCACTTGTGTGCGACCCACACACATCCGGCCTCTCTTGCTGGTGTGTGGGGGCACTTGTGAGGGACCCCACACACCCGGCATCTCTTGCTGGTGTGTGGGGGCACTTGTGTGCGACCCGCGACCCACACACACACACCCGGCCCCTTGACAGTTGAGAGGCGGGACCAAAGAGACAAAGCTCAACCCCCGCAAGCACAAATAGGTGAGTACACACACACCTGTTGATTGACGGTTGAGAGGCGGGACCAAAGAGCCAGAGCTCAACCCCCGCAAACACAACTAGGTGAGTACACACACACACACACATTCTGTATCTGTTTCCCTTTCCTTTCTATCTTTCATTGTTTTGACTAAGAATAGGGTTAATTAGGAATGCTATTGAGGTCCTAACAAAACTGCTGTTATACAGCTGTTAACCTACATCAACTCATCTCAACCCTTACCCTAAAAACTTATTTTTAATCACTTATTATTAATTATTCGTTAGTAATAAACAACTCCACTTTATTAAAACACGTTTCGCTTCGTATTTATTTGGAAAACTTGTTATATTGTAAAAATAATGACATTTAAGTGTCATTTCAGCTTGATGCTAGAGATGCGCAGGCCAGCTTGATAAATGATGATAAACGCCGAACAAAAAAGTGACAAACGCCCAACAAAAAAAGTGACAAACGCAGGACAAAAAAAGTGACAAACGCCGAACAAAAAAAGTGACAAACGCTGAACAAAAAAAGTGACAAACGCCGAACAAAAAAACAACGCCGAACAAAAAAAGTTACAAACGCCGAACAAAAAAACAAACGCCCAACAAAAAAGTGACAAACGCCGAACAAAAAAAGTGACAAACGCCGAACAAAAAAAGTGACAAACGCCGAACAAAAAAAGTGACAAACGCCGAACAAAAAAAGTGACAAACGCCGAACAAAAAAGTGACAAACGCCGAACAAAAAAAGTGACAAACGCCGAACAAAAAAGTGACAAACGCCGAACAAAAAAACAAACGCCGTGACAAACGCCGAACAAAAAACAAAAAAGTGACAAACACCGAACAAAAAAGTGACAAACGCCGAACAAAAAAGTGACAAACGCCGAACAAAAAAAGTGACAAACGCCGAACAAAAAAGTGACAAACGCCGAACAAAAAAAGTGACAAACGCCGAACAAAAAAAAGTGACAAACGCCGAACAAAAAAAGTGACAAACGCCGAACAAAAAAGTGACAAACGCCGAACAAAAAAGTGACAAACGCCGAACAAAACAGTCCCTGCTGTCAAGCTAAATGTTTCAAATTATGCTTACATACATGCACGTATTGATTTAGCCAAACGTGGCACTATAATTTGAAGCCAACATGCAAGTGTTCTGTGGCACTGTCCCAGCAGTCGTACACTTGGTCCCGGGTTCGAGTCTTGCTCTATATATAGAGCCTTTCTTAGCCACGAGAAATTATGCATGTTTTAATGCTAATGTGATATTTCACACGGCTTTCAAGCCATTACGGCACGAAAACTACCCGGAACTACTCATCCGGCAACCCGTCCTCAAACCAAATTCATTCCATCCAGCGGTCGACCCCAAATAAGACCCATTCATCAAGTTTAACATGTTGTTCATTCAAAACATGAATTTTCTCAAATATAAATTAATATTATTATATATTAGCATGTTGTGCACATTTAGGCATTGGTTAGGTTAGGTGTTCAGGGTCTATTAGCGATTATTTATATTTGTAGTACGTTGGTGAAGCATTTACAGCGTTGTGGTTGAAACAAAAGTCGTCACCGAAGCACTTTTTTCCGGAAGTGTTCGGACGTCATTAGTTGTAAGTCGTGTGTAAACTGTTTTTCATTCATAAACAAGGGGTTTGGCGGGTGCATGGAATGGACTTTGGGTCTTTGTTTATGAGGACGGGCTGCATCCGGATAGTTTTATGGCGGGTTGAGGTTGAAGTAATGGGCATGAAGAATTAATTTAGTCTATCAATCTCCAGTGTGTTCAGGGGGCCCACTGAAATCAGTGGCGTTCTGCGTCCTTAGTATTTCACTAATTTCTTTCTTTTTATCAGTGAAAGTTCCATCTCTCTCTTGCACAAGGGCCTAATGTAAGATTTAGTTTTTGCTCTAGACCTGCATAGAAAAATAAATGTTTAGGTTCCTCTGAATTTACTGGAGGCCTTATGCTCTGTATATATATCTCCAGGTTGGATTTTTCTGCAGCCCCTTCCTTGTTGGTCACGGATGGGGGGGGGGAAGTGAGACGTATGGGCAGTTCAGTGATTTATTTTCTTTGCTTATTAGCCCAAATAACATATATCACTACACACATAGGTCATTACATATGTATGTAATGATATATGTATGTAAAAGCACACACAAAGGACCTCAAGTGGTCATTTATATGTGACCGTTCATATAGACGTTTTTTTTTAGAAGTCTTTCTGATATTATGGCATTTGCTAAATGTTTCCATTTTAGGCGACGTAATTGAAGTCAATGAGCAAGATGTTGTTTGGGACCGGATTTGTAAGGTTTTCTAAATAGTATTTTAAGATTAAATTCAGAAACGATCTGAATAAATATTAGTTTGTGAACAGGGTTGTTGATCTATGGAACATTTTACCGGGTAACATAACACAAGTGAAATGTTTCAAACGAGAGTTGAAACATTCCACTTGAAACTCATTCATATATGTGAATGAGTTTCGCTGGATATAAAAAAAATTTGCTTCGCATGGACCAATAAGACTGTAGTTTCCTTTAGTCTTACATTTAAATGTTCTTATTATGTTCTTTTAAATGTTCTTGTAGACTGACCACATTTTTACAATGGGTTCAACAGTATATTCTGCGGAAGCGTGTAAAAGTGTAATAACTGCTCACATGTGCCAATGGAAAAGCTTTTCGTCATAACAGGAACTTTCAACAATGGGTTATGTCTTCGTTCATGTTTATAAATACGGCAATAATTTGCATGCAATACGCATGCGCATGTTTACAACGTCAGCAATGTTTATCAATTTTGAAATATAATCATCCGTGGTTTACATCTTGGGACTGCTGACACGTAATGAATATCGGTATATTATTATACACGAATCTCGTCATCAATTTCCAGACGAAAAAAGTAAGTTTCTTACGTGTAAGCCGTTTGAAGTTGGGCTATTGTGCTCTTGTTTTGACGGCTGCATGAGTAACGATAGTGGTGGTGGTGTCTATACAATCACTGCACTGATTGTGGTGATGGTGGTGGGCCAACATGAGCAACGATTGTGGTGATGGTGGTGGGCCAACATGAGCAACGATTGTGGTGATGGTGGTGGGCCAACATTGGCCAGGATTATTTGGTGGTGTTAATGCTTCAAATATACATTAATATTATTTTATGTTATGTTCAAGTTCAAGTATGTTTATTGAGACAAGAAAAAATACATCTCAAAGGGATAGCGTAGCTTAGGCTATTTCTAACCCCCCCCCCAATTTTTTTTACCTCTTACTTTATTTACGTCTTGCTAGATTTCCTTCAAGATTCTGTTGCTCCCAACTTTCTCTGCAAACTCCTGCCAATACTTGCTCCTGATTTCCTTTCTTTTCTCCCCACACAGCCTAGCAACTGCCAGTAAAGCATTCTTCCCTTCCTCAGTCCTACCATTCCTATTCCAATCACTGTGAGCTCTCCTCATTGTGAATGTCCAGCCCTTAAGCATCTTGTCCTGTGTTATAATTTTCTTTTCTGGTGGGATGTTTTTTTTATACTATATGTTTTCCAGTTCAATGTTGCATTAAATACATCTACCTCCTTAATTAGATCTTCATAAAATGTTTCTGCCGAAACTGGCTTATAAGTATCATACCAAGACTTAATATGACCAACAAGATCCCTTAATTCTCCCCTCATTAAACTCTAACCTTTTCCTCTGAAGGCAGGCATTCTTTTTATCTAGTTTAAGCTGTATTTGTAATGCAAAATGATCACTTAGCATTTCATCCACAGTAAGGTTTATGTTATGATACTGTGGATAGCTGAGCCTAGGTTAGGTTTGACTAGTTGTTTTGTTTCCGCTTGCAGTCATGTATATTTAGTATATGCAGAAGTATTTCAATAGGTGCGCTTTCGAACACTGGAAGTTATTGAAGAACTTTTAAATATAAGTTGTACCATAATCCTCCAAGATATATATACACACAGCCTTAATATTTCTCCAGAGGTTGATGAACTTGATGTCCATCAAATGTTTCCATTATAGGTGACGTAATTGACTTCAATTATTGAAGTCAACGAATAAGATGTTGTTTGGGGCTGGATTTGTGAGGTTTTCTAAACCAAATCCAACCTTCACTTTGATGCACAAGTACAAAAACCCCAGACTTATCATTCGCAAGAGTTAGACAGGATCCATTACACAGGATGACTATTTCTGTTGAGTATTAAACAAACGATATATTCTCAGACAGGACTTAATATTAATATACACAGGAGTAGAATAAGTCACAATAACTTGGTAGAAAGGACCATCTCATGCTGTTGACAGTTGGGTGTTTAGAGGCATATATATATATATATGACCATCTTCCTCAGGTTCCGATACACAGCCTCGCTCCTGTGCCAGGTAAGTCCACTACGGGCTCACCATAGCCCGTGCTACTTGGAACTTTTGTTCTGAGTAGCTGAATCTAAAACAACAACAAACTCAGGTTCCCTTACGGGCTATTCATGCCCGTGCCACCTTTTGGATAGCTTAATGTTTATCAATCAATCAATCAATCAGGTTCCCGGACGTGGGCGGACGAATGTTGTGGCGGGGAGGCGGACCTGCCAGACGACACGCCCACCGGCTCCACCCACCCACTCTACGCCGCCCACGCCGCCCGCTCCACCGCCCGCAAATCAAGGGACCACCGCCCCTCCGCCACCCTCGATAATGACATTCAGGAGCTGCTGGTCAGGAACTCTAAGGTTGGTACTGTGTAAACTCTTGTAGTTGTATACTGTTATTTGTGAATGTATACCGTTATATGTGAGTGTATATTGTTATTTGTTTGTGTGTATACTGTCATTTGTGTATGTATATTGCCATTTATGAATGTATACCGTTATACATGTGTGTGTGCTGTTAGTTGTTAGTGTATACTGCTATGCTGAGGAAATTATGCAATGTTGCATCGAGAAATCGAATAAAAAAGCTAAAAAAACACTCAATACTGTTTTTGCTATTCACACACACACACACACACACACACACACACACACACACACACACACACACACACACAGGCCTCGTAGCCTGGTGGATAGCGCGCAGGACTCGTAATTCTGTGGCGCGGGTTCGATTCCCGCACGAGGCAGAAACAAATGGGCAAAGTTTCTTTCACCCTAAGTGCCCCTGTTACCTAGCAGTAAATAGGTACCTGGGAGTTAGTCAGCTGTCACGGGCTGCTTCCTGGGGTGTGTGTGTGGTGTGGGGAAAAAAAAAAAAAAAAAAAAAAAAAAAAAAGGTAGTAAACAGTTGATTGACAGTTGAGAGGCGGGCCGAAAGAGCAAAGCTCAACCCCCGCAAAAACACAACTAGTACACAACTAGTAAACACACACACACACACACACACACACACACACACACACACACACACACACACACACACACACACACTGAGTACCCACATGAGCCACAGAGACGTTAGAAGGAACTTTTTCAGTGTCAGAGTAGTTAACGGATGGAATGCATTAGGCAGTGATGTGGTGGAGGCTGACTCCATACACAGTTTTAAATGTAGATATGATAGAGCCCAGTAGGCTCAGGAACCTGTACACCAGTTGATTGACAGTTGAGAGGCGGGACCAAAGATCCAAAGCTAAACCCCCGCAAGCACAAATAGGTGAGTACACACACACACACACACACACACACACACACACACACACACACACACATATATATATATATATATATATATATATATATATATATATATATATATATATATATATATATATATATATATATATATATATGACAATGTCAGACCACGGAGGAAAATGAAACAGGAATTTCCTTAAGTACTTTCGTATATTAAATACATCTTCATTCCTTCTGAAGATGTATTTAATATACGAAAGTACTTAAGGAAATTCCTGTTTCATTTTCCTCCGTGGTCTGACATTGTCACATTCTTAATCACGTGTTTATTTTCGTGATACACACACACACACATATATATATATATATATATATATATATATATATATATATATATATATATATATATATATATATATATATATATATATATTACTAATAAATTAGTATCTGCCTTCATAATAATAAGTGCTGCCTATCACATTATAATTGCAATAACAATATGAGTAAAAGTGTGCATGACCAGCAATATTGATATATATAATGGATCAAGCTGGCATAAATATATATAAGAGGAAAACTGGAGTTGTGTAAATGTTATTAATATTAGCAAGTGTTATACGTAGTGTGTAATAGGAGGCGTGCGCTTGTTTCAGTCAGCCAGCGGGGTGCTGGTGCTGCTGGTGGGCGTGGTGGTGGGGGCGTGGGTGCTGGGGGCGTGTGGTGCATCATGGGCGTGGCTCATGGTCAGTATGGGCGTGACCTGGGCGTTGGTGTCCGGCGCCCTACAGCGAGCAGCCGAGGACGCCACCAGGTAGGTCCTCCTCTCTCCTCACTAAATGTAAATCATTCAAAAGTAATGATAATAATGAGTAATTCACTCATCGCCCCTCTCCTGTGCCAGGTAAGTCCACTACGGGCTCACCATAGCCCGTGCTACTTGGAACTTTTTGTTCCCAGTAGCGAATCTTAAACAATATGAGTAAGGGGGTACAAATAGCCTAAGCTACTCTATCCCTTTGGGATGTATTTCTTGCTTATCTCAATAAACATACTTGAACTTGAATATGAGTAATTGTTATAATAATTCCCCCGTTGTCAGGGACAGGAAGTCTGTAATTAGGTCAAGGTCTTTCTCTGTAACTACCTGACACTGTAACTATAAGGTGTGAAATTGAATTGAAATTGAAATTGAAATAAGTTTATTGAGGTAAAATACACACAAAGGGATGAGGTAGCTCAAGCTATTCTCACCCCTCACTCATAAGGTGTGAAGGATAGATGAAATTGTTTATGTAATAATCTAAGATGAGGTCTGATAATGCCCTTTTGTGCCCTCTGTAATGCTTTTTGCGCTACCGCTCACAGGATGGGTATGGGGTGCACAATAAACTAGCCACCTCAGGGGGCAACAAAACAAGCCAAGGTCTCCCTAGGCCTACTACTGTCCTTTCCCAGGATGCAACCCACAACAGTTGCTTAACTCCTTAGTACTGTATCTATTTACTACAAAGTGAATAAATGCATCAAGTGAAAAAGAAACATACCCAACAATTTTTGTCTCGGTCGGGGATCGAACCCAGATGCTCCATTATGAGTTGAGCAGGACCCATTAATTCCTGTATTAAATGCAGGAGCCATATAAATATGGCGTATGAGGTATTTATAGTAGAGAGGGTTGGTACATTTCTTTTACGGGCTATTCATGCCCGTGCCACCTCTTGTGTGTGACTTAATCTTTATCAATCATCGGTACATTACTGTGAGAGGACCATTTGGTCACCATTTGGTCCGGGAGACATCTCCCGTCGCGCAGGGTGCAGTTGCGCCTCCACAGATCTCCAGTATCATCTTTTGATACTGGTAATGGCTCAAAAGGGCCACCACTTACGGGCTATTTATGCCCGTGCCACCTCTTGGGTGGCTTAATCTTCATCAATCAATCTACTGTGAGAGGGAGAGTAAGGTGAGGCAGGGAGGTGAGGCCACCACACCGGAGCACAGCCCGAGGAGTGTGTTGCTAGCCTCATCACCACACCCTGCCACCGCCCGCTGACAACTAGTGTTTAGTGCTATACACAGCTCATCTAGGAGGCATCCAGTGACTCCTGCCACACACTGCACGGTAAAAGGCAGACTAGCAGTAGAACAGCGTTCTCTGAGACTATATTGGTGGTTATGTAGTGACAAATATTCGTTAAAAAATTATTGAATTTGATGATTGAGAGCGGCAATATTGGTCAGTATTTGCTGACCATGAATGGTTCTCCTTGCTTGTGGCTGGAACTGCATATGCCTTCTCCCTTCGCTTGCCACACGTCCTGCTTCACCACTGTCCTCCGACGGTGCGAAATTAAATATACATAATCTGTAACAATTTCCCCCCTACTTGAACTGGTCCGTACAGCGTCGATCTAGCTGCCTGCAGGTCGACGTTCAAACCTCGATGGTCCTAGTAGATTTACACCCTCCGTCATATCCCAGCTCCTTGCCCTATGTCCCTTCCAAGGGCTATATAGTCATGGTTTGGCGCTTTCTCATAATTACCTTACTTCTGTAACGACTATAATTAACCACTGTATCATGTTTTCTTCCATGTATTTTATATACCATTATTATTATTATTATTAAGTGATTTCAGGAGGCGAAGGACTTGATCTTGTCATATAACACCAGGTGAGAGCTTTAACACACTGCTGCCAGCCAGCCACAGAGGCTATCGTACTGGATTATTAACTTGTATTTTAGGAACAAAGTAGGTCGCCAGTTAATTAGTTTTATTAATTTATAATTGCAATCAAGGGATATCTTTTTCCTATCTACCTCTTCCCCTCGGTCTCCCATTCTCTCTTTTCCACTCTCTTTCCTTGCGCTCTTCGCTCTCTTCCCTTCTCCCTTCCCTCCCACACTCCCACATACACAGGTGATGAAATCGAAGCGGAGCTCTGGCGGTCATGGAAGCACTTTAATTATTAGGAATCAGTATCTTGGGAAGATAGAGGGGCCGACAGGGAATTGGGAGCTGCACAACCTCGCTGATATATGGTGTGATGGCTCGCGCTTGGCCACCCATATGTCTGTGTAAATAAAGACGTACAGAAAGTTGTGGCTGTGAGCAGACTGATGGAACGGGAAGTATTTGAATAAACATGTGAATGCAGTGCTTTTTGTGTGTGTGTTGGGGGGGGGGGGTGAGGGTGGCGGGAAGCATCATTGATCTTAATAATCATGAAGGTGTCTTCAATACGCCATCACTGCATCCGAGTCTCCCTGTTGCACCAATATTGACAGTTTAGAAGACGACCCTCAATGCTGTTAACACTACACGACCACCACTATCTTTGATAACACGATCTACTGTCCTCAGTATCATTCAGAGCACGACTTACTCCCTCAATACCCTTCATAACTAGGACTGGTATCCTCAGTACCTTTGATAATACGACCTATTATCCTCAGTATCTTTGATAACACGACCTACTGTCCTCAGTACCCTTAACACAGCCTACAGTACACCACCCATTAGGGCAGCACACACCTTTACACCCCGGAATGTGCTGTGCACCTCTACAGTTCCCGTATGTCTACTCTCCGCCTATTTAGCGCCTGTGCGGAGTGTACACTTGCACAAAGATAGACTCCTGGTTTAACCTTGACGACGAATGGACACCTGCTCCGCCTGGGGGGCGCCAGATCACTTTCAATTACATGATTTTACCCATACGGTTTTGATACTGCCCTCTGGCAGTCCTATTGAACGGTCCGGTTTGTTACGACGCCTGGCGTTCGTAACAAACCTGACTTAGAGGAAAGTTGATAGATGTTGAACGTTTTCTGGCTGGTTCTTCGGTCAGGGTGACGGTGTCCGGCGCCGTCTTGGCCGAGAGGTGCCGGAAGTTGGCAGGTCTTGGTGAGCTCTGGGTGTGCCCACAGACTTGCTGAGGGCGGTCTTCATTTCTGCCGGAGGACACTGGAAGACATTTAGCATTTTAGAAGGGGGCTCCGTGTTTATGTTTGGCTACCCAGTGTTCTCTGTGTGGGGTGGGGCCGGTGCTTGCTTCTCTGAAAGACTCCTGGGGCTTCCCAATCATCTGCCCATCAGTGTGTTTATTTCGCTGCAAGTCACATTCGTTTCCGCCGACAGATTTTTATTTAGCCATATGGCTTTGCGATTTACCCTTCGGTACACCGAGTCACATGCAGCACCTCTGCCGTCACGGCCCCCTAAAACAACAACAACTATGTATGGTGTACACCGGTACAATGGTACATGTGGTGTACAACTTGGTTCTCTATACAGATACGAGTCACTGCGGCTACACCGGCGGCGAGCACTGCAGGCAGACGAGACGTGCGAGTGGCTCAACCTGCTAGTGAACCGGTGGTGGGTCTTCTCCTCTGCCTCCATCTTTGCCAGGGTCAAGGCCGCCCTCGATCCCAGACTCAATGATGCCAAGCCCGCCTTTCTAGGTGGGTTCCTACAGCAAGCCCGCTTTCCTGGATGTCTGCATAGTCGAGCATCAGCTTACATAAGTCAAGCCTAGCTGTATGCGGTGCTGTAGTCATGCCAGTGTATAGTACTGTAGCCACACCAGCATGTGTACTGTAGTTATACCAGCTTGTGATACTGTAATTATGCTTGCGTGTGGTACTGTAGTCACGCTGGCATGTGGTAAGACTGATGGACCATTGGGCATGATGTTCTAACACTGTTATTTCCTCCCGACAGAGGCCATCTCTCTAAAGCAGTTGAGTCTTGGAGATCGGACGCCCGTGCTGCGTAGTGTGAGGGCGTGGGACATCTCCAGTACAGCTGGGGGTATAGAGGGCATGCCCCGCCGCCAACTGTGCCCAGCACGCCCACCTCCGGGCCTCGCACACGCCCCCACACACACCCTAGCCATTATGTGTGATCTCGCTCTCGACTCAGATTCCTTCTCTGCCGTCCTCGCCGCAAGGATAGGTGGCAAGGGGTGAGTATCTCGGTGTGGTTGATTGATGGGATAACTGCAGACAGTGATGCAGTGGTCATACATTCCGCCCAGTCAAGATCACCCATATCATCCAAGAGTGCAGTGAAGCCATATGTGACATATTTCTCTCCATTTATGTACCTTTGGCATCTTTACACTTTGCATGACCACACAAACCCATAAACAAAACAGAAAGTCTATTAAGAGCAAAAACACCACACAAAATTAGCCAATTGGCCATCGAAATTTAATTGATTTGATCTTAGGATTTAGGTAACCTTCCACAACAACGACAACAACAATCTAGCCGATTGTCGGATAGTGATATTAGGAGGATGGGGAGAGGGATAGTGACATTAGGAGGAGGAGGGGAGAGGGATAGTAACATTAGGAGGAGGAGGGAAGAGGGATAGTGACATTAGGAGGAGGGGAGAGGGATAGCGACATTAGGAGGAGGGAGGAGAGGGATAGTGACATTAGGAGGATGGGGAGAGGGATAGTGACATTAGGAGGAGGGAGGAGAGGGATAGTGACATTAGGAGGAAGGAGGAGAGGGATAGTGACGTTAGGAGGATGGGGAGAGGGATAGTGACATTAGGAGGATGGGGGAGAGGGATAGTAACATTAGGAGGAGGAGGGGAGAGGGATAGTGACATTAGGAGGAAAAGGGGAGGAAAGGAATAGTGACATTAGGAGGAGGGGAGAGGGATAGTGACATTAGAAGGATGGGGAGAGGGATAGTGACATTAGAAGGATGGGGAGAGGGATAGTGACATTAGGAGGAAGGGGAGAGGGATAGTGACATTAGGAGGATGGGGAGAGGGATAGTGACATTAGGAGGATGGGTAGAGGGATAGTGACATTAGGAGGATGGGGAGAGGGATAGTGACATTAGGAGGATGGGGAGAGGGATAGTGACATTAGGAGGATGGGGAGAGGGATAGTGACATTAGGAGGATGTGGATAGGGATAGTGACATTAGGAGGATGGGGAGAGGGATAGTGACATTAGGAGGATGTGGATAGGGATAGTGATTTTAGAAGGATGGGGAGAGGGATAGTGACATTAGGAGGATGGGGAGAGGGATAGTGACATTAGGAGGATGGGGAGAGGGATAGTGACATTAGGAGGATGGGGAGAGGGATAGTGACATTAGGAGGATGGGGAGAGGGATAGTGACATTAGGAGGATGGGAAGAGGGATAGTGACATTAGGAGGATGGGGAGAGGGATAGTGACATTAGGAGGATGGGGAGAGGGATAGTGACATTAGGAGGATGGGGAGAGGGATAGTGACATTAGGAGGATGGGGAGAGGGATAGTGACATTAGTAGGATGGGGAGAGGGATAGTGACATTAGGAGGATGGGGAGAGGGATAGTGACATTAGTAGGATGGGGAGAGGGATAGTGACATTAGGAGGATGGGGAGAGGGATAGTGACATTAGGAGGATGGGGAGAGGGATAGTGACATTAGGAGGATGGGGAGAGGGATAGTGACATTAGGAGGATGGGGAGAGGGATAGTGACATTAGGAGGATGGGGAGAGGGATAGCGACATTAGGAGGATGGGGAGAGGGATAGTGACATTAGGAGGATGGGGAGAGGGATAGTGACATTAGGAGGATGGGGAGAGGGATAGTGACATTAGGAGGATGGGGAGAGGGATAGTGACATTAGGAGGATGGGGAGAGGGATAGTGACATTAGGAGGATGGGGAGAGGGATAGTGACATTAGGAGGATGGGGAGAGGGATAGTGACATTAGGAGGATGGGGAGAGGGATAGTGACATTAGGAGGATGGGGAGAGGGATAGCGACATTAGGAGGATGGGGAGAGGGATAGTGACATTAGGAGGATGGGGAGAGGGATAGTGACATTAGGAGGAACACAAAAATTTAAATCTGCTCCCAAATCTACAAAAAAGAAAAATTCGCCAACAAAAACAAAAATCCAACAACGAAATAATGCCAAATCCGCCAACAAGATAATTCCTAATTCACCCAACAACAAAAATTCCATATCCACCAACAAAAAATTTCAAATCTGCCAACAAAAAATCCAAATTCACCACCACCAGCAACAACAAAATCTGCCACAAAAAAATCAAAATCTGCCAACAAAAAATTCCTATTCTACCAACTTTAAAAAAATAGTTCCAGATCCGTCAACAACAAAAATCGAAATGCGGCAACAAAAAATTCCTAATTCTCCAACATACAAATTCCAAATCCGCCAATGTAGAATTCCATATCCGCCAATCCAATGAAAATCCTCTAACGAGAATAGAGCAAATCCACCAACAACAAAAAAATCCAAATCCGCCAATAATTTGGTGGATTCATTCCAAAATTCCAAATCTTAAGAGTGACATGAGGAGGGTTGACCCGAGTACAGTGGCACCTCACTCCTGGTGGAGGAGGTTGGCAGGAAGGCTTGTAATATACTGGCTTTCCTTTACAGTGGTAATGCAACAAATACATTAGTAATATTTGAATTCTTTTATTTTCCAGTTTCGACATAATGCAACAAATACATTAGTAATATTTGAATTCTTTTATTTTCCAGTTTCGACATAAAGATTTTACCAATGTACAACTTTACAAAGCAGTTGTATTTATTTGTATTAATCCAATTATATGTGAACAAAATAAAATACATTACCAGTATTGAAGATGTGTGTGTGTCAGGGTGGGTGTGGACCTGGATGTGGGCGTGGAGAAGCTGGCAGTGCTGGGGCGTGTGGTGGTGACAGCTACATTGGACATGGAGGCACCCTTCCCACACCTCACCCGCCTGGCCCTCTCCTTCACTGAGAAGCCCCAAGTGTGGTTCAGTGTCAGGATCCTCAAGGTCAGTCCTCCTCCTCCTCCTCCAACCCCTCTCACTTCTATAACCCCTCTCACTCCTACAACCCCTCCTGAGAGTCTTACAACCTTATATTACATCCCCCCCCCTGCATCTGGTTCACTTGACCCTACAACCTATTCCCACAGCTTTACAACTTATCCATTCAGCTTGCAACCTATTCTTTTAGCTCGACAACATGGGAGAGAACCAACTGTGTTAAGAAAGTTGTGCCTAACAAACTTGATTCAGTTTTATGACAGTTACTAAAATAAGGCTGGAGAGACCTATCCTTGGTTTAATTATCTGTCTCCTGGACCCTTCAATTTCCTTAGCTCTAATGCTTTTTCCATGACTATCCCCTGAGCCCAATAACATCTATTGAGCCATATAACATATTCCCTTTAACATAAAACCTATTCTAACAACCATGCACCCTAACCCTTGAGCTTTGGAAGCTATCCACTTCCACTAAAAATTCTGTAACTTGAGCTGCACAACCTGTTCCTGAGTCCTACAAGTTATCTTATGCCTTATTTCATTATGTTTACTTCTTATCCCTGATACTATATATCCACTTGCTTTTCTGACCAATATATGCACTGTATTATATACTATTCATATATCTTGACCTCTGGTAACCATTTCTTTCAAACTTCACCTCTGACCTATGTTAACATTTCATATTTTCTTTATTTTTCTCCTATTCTGCAAAAAGGTTTTCTGATATGTTGTTGATCTTTGGAGTGTACTAACCTTCAGCAACCCACATTGATCTCTTGACTTTATTTGACTGAGGTTACCAGGTGACTCCTTGACCTTCCTTAAATTATTCTGTCTTGATAACCTTAACTGATCCATCACATTTGGCATCATCTGAACACCTTGAGCTATCACTGTCCCTCACTGATCTTTGTTTACCTGTTCCATCCTTATGACCTTTCCTGGTCCTGACTTTGTACCCCTGAAATTAAACCTCTACTCTATATTGACTGCTTTTTGCCTGACTTTGAACTATATCTGTTCTTGTTGACTTCTGAGCTCTATACCTTGATGACCTCCCTGAGCCCTGGCTATATTTTGATGACCTCCTTATACCCTGTCTCTATTTCTATATACCCAGACAGGCAAAATAAGATACATGAGCAACTGCTTACTAGATATCACCTACACTCATAAAACCTATTTCCACAATGCTTATGGTAAAAAGATGAAACATAGGTAGTAAAAGTTAAGTGAAGCCAATAAAGAGCAGAGCCATGAAGAGTGAGAGTGGTTATAAGTCACATAAGAGCATGTTAAACATTAGGCATGCAATAGGTACATATTAATCTTATGCAGATTATGTCAGAACAAATTAATATTGTTATCTTATTATGTTCTAAAGTGAATTGAGTCATGGCCTATGTCCTTTACTGCCTCACATACTCCCCTCTCTTCCATTTCATCTTTCACAGCTTCTTTTGTTCAAGACAACAATTCCTCACAAGTCTTAACCCCTCCCCATCATCTACTGTACACTAACTCTTCAGCCCCAACTGAGACTGGTTTCCTCTCTGGCGGCAGGCAGTTCAGATGATGGAGGTACCAGTGCTCAAGACATGGCTCCACTCACTCGTTATGGATGCTCTCTCCACAGCCTGGGTTGACCCAGGTCAGTTGGAGATCAACATCCACTCAACAGATGTCATCGTGCCAGAGACCCGCCCTGGAGACACGCTGGCTCAGGGTGTCCTTACTGTCATTCTGTGGACGATTAAGGCAACCACAGGTTAGTGACTGGGAGGGTACAGTTATGGGTGGTCTAGTTGATGGGTGACCTAGTTGATGGCTGGTATAGTTATGAGTGATTTTTCTTGATTTGTATAGATGATGGATGGGCTAGCTGATGGTGATATAGTTATGGGTGATAAGTGTGATAAGTAAATAAACTAGTGAGCAGTTGGTGAGTAGTCATGCATGTTAGGTGGATATTTGGTTGGTAATAGATCATGGGGTGCTGTTCCAGTAATTCCTCTTGTGACTCCCTGCTAGCAGGGTATTTGCCTAAAAATACATTCTTTCTTAAGCTGAATGTTTATAAATTTTTATATTCTGTGTAGTTTAGGTGCTTGGCTTTGACTCCCTTTATATGTGTGTAGAATTCTTCCAGTATTAACAGTATTAGTTATAGGTGTAGCTGAGAATTTGATTGACTATGACTCCTTCATATGCTACAGGTGTAGGTGTAAATAAGGACAAGGGGGATGACTATGACCTCTCCTTGTGTTGCAGGTGTAGGTATAGATGAGGACAAGTGGGTGGTGGTAATGGTGGATGGACAGCAGCATGTGACGCCAGCCATTACAACACCTCGCTGGCAGGAGGCATGCAGCTTCCTGGTGAGCTCTTCACCAAATCACCATAATCTAGTTCTCAAAGTCAAAACGAAGAGGCTCATAACTACCACTCTCACGCAGTTCGACTTGCCTCTCAGTCAGTATGGTCTTGACAACTGTAGAGTGTGAGTACTAACACCTGTGTGGCTCCTCTGCTTAGCTTATGTACTACTTACCTGCTTTACAATTCAATTAATTCTAGTACATACTTTAAACACCAGCACACTTGGTTATATTATTATATTGCACTGTAACTAGTCTTAACAAATAATTAATTTTATCATTTTTCCCATATATTTCCATATAGACATGTAGTGATTACATATCTAGTAATCATTATCACACTCACAGACAGTATATCTAGAATCTAAATACTTTGAGTTTTAAACATAATAGTATGAATTGAGTGCACAGGCAGTGCATTTGAGTGGTAAATACACAGATGAGTTAAATGCTTCCTATTCCTGCCAAGGTGACTAATGATAGCTGGGAAAACATGTTCAGTGTGAGGGTCGTGTGGGGGAGGGAAACTTTTCTAAGAGAGGAAATTGTGGAGGCAAACTCCATATATAAAATCACTTACACAATGTAAATATGATAAGAGCCAAGGGGCTGGGAATGCATCACACCAAACAATTAGTAGTTGAGGCAGGGGTCTGGAGCTGGAGCATGATATTGATAAACGTGAGTACTATATACTTGAATGCTTTGCAATGATAGTAGCAATGCATAACGAACAGCTACTAAATGCTCGTTACATTATCGTACACTTAACACGGTATAATTTAAGCATATTAGCCTGTGGCTAACTTGCTTAAATCTGGGATTTAATTTATCCCCCATTAAATGATATTTGTATATCATTTAATAAGAGAGAAATCATATCCCCCTCATTAAATGATATGCTAATAGGATATGATCTTGCAGCCTAGGCCTACAAAACAATGTGTACCTAGTATGCAACACCCTTTTTGCTAAAATATTGTATATTATATTAAATAAATTTAAAGTTATAGTATTAGGTTTTGTTGTTAATATTTGTTAAGTGGATAAAACCCAAAGTGGTGTTTTGTCCTGAAGTAACTTTCAGGACAAAATTTTAATGCATATAACTGCAGGTTACAATTTATATCTTTATACATGTATCTAATATATAATACCCTGTACAGTATTTATTATATGGTACTCTGTACAAATCTATAATACAATACCTTGTAAAGTATCTATTATTTACAGTCACTGAATTTACTTGAGGGCCATTAACATTGTATTGGCCTCGACAAAGACAAGGAAGCCGGTGGCTTGTCGAAGGTACCCCCCCCCCCCATTTGCCCTGATGATTTTTTCCAGCTGGATTTTACAACTTAACAGAGGTTTAGCCTTTACAGCTTCAGTGGGTAGGAGATTCCATGGGTTTATAACCCTGTGGGTGAAAAAGCATCTCCTGTTTTCAGTCTTACATTGTGGCTTTTCGAGCCTGAAACAGTTTCGTGTATGTATGTACAGGATATGGTTTCCTGTACCCTATACTGGGTACAATAGTACCTTATACAGTATCTATTATATAGTACCCTTACACTATCTAATATATACAGTAGTACCCTTTACACTATCTAATATATACAGTAGTACCCTGTACAGTATGTGTTATACAGTACCCTGTAAAGTTTATTAATATGTTTTATTTAAGCAAAGGTACATACATAAATAGGATACAAGAAGAATGTAGGATTATAGGTAAGATATGTACTATGCCTAAAGCCACTAATATGCAGATCATTTCCCCTCATAATGTGGAAAAAAACTTAAAAGCTAAAGAACTTAAAACTAATTGAGTATCTATTATGTAATACCCTGTACAGTAGCTATTGTATAATTCTCTGTATAGTATCTGATGACCAAACCACACTCACCAGATAAAGAAAAGACAATATTTTGGTCAGTCCTGGACCATTATCAAGTTGTATTGTGATGTTGTACCCCTTTAAAGTATTTATTATATAATACCCTCTGTACAGTGTCTATTATATAATAGCCCTTTACAGTATCTATTATATAATACCCCTTTACAGTATCTATTTTATAATACCTCTTACAGTATCTATTATATAATACCTCTTAACAGTATTATATAATATCCCTGCACAGTATATATCTATATATGACACCCTGTACAGTATCTGTACAGTTCAAGTTTTTTTTTTTTAGTTAACTTGGCTGGATTGATAATTTCTCTTAGAGCACTTAATTTTTTCCTAGAACTTTCCCTCATAATGAGGATTATGAGCCTGTATGGATGAGCCTATATTGATGAGTCTATATGGCTGCAAGTCCCTGTGGTGTCAATGCAATATCTTCCTACCTAACCAAACTGTCCCCTGTAATGTATAGCACAGCACTGTATTGTACCTCAGAGTGCATAATACCCTGCATTTAAATAAGTCCTTTTACAAGTTCAGAGCCTATCTTCAGCACTGTAAATATTATACTTTTACAGTTTCAAGTAAATGTAAAGTTGTATAATTGCAGAAGTGATGATTCCGATAATGATTCTGACAGTACAGTACAGTATTTCATTATTTTGCTGTACTGTACCATAATAAATAATTTATTGCTTATGTATTATTGCTATTCCAGCACTAATATTAAAAATATCACAGCCTCTCTAATTTGGATACAGAGCAGAGACAGTGTTGCAGAAAAAGGGAGGGAAGGTTATCGGGGGAAATGTGCCGTCACTTCATCTTCGGCTGCAGTATACTCCACTCAGCCCTGTCAGCCTCGACTCTCCCCTCCCCGCACCCCTGATGGACAACCAAGAAGGTGGGTCACCAATGCACCTCAAGCCAAATGGAATAAATTGCTTGTGGTAAAGGACTTTTTTTTTTAAGTACAGTATATGAATGAATAGTTTGTTAACCATGTTCTTGTTAACTTTCCTTGATGGCTTAAATTGAATGGTTGATATGACATTAAGAAACCTTCTGTAAATTTGTATTAATTGACAAGAAGATAGAGAAATGAACAATAAGGGAAGTTAAAAGTAAATGCATATATGACCTCTACAGCTGTAATTTCATAAAAATTCATAATCCTTTGTATATTCAGTATTACAAATATTTGTGAAATTAATCTGTATTCTTGATCAGATAAATGATAGTCTTCCAAGATGAATTAAACAAGAAAACTTGATTAAGACAAGCCACAGGTACTACAAGGCCAACTCTCACCACTTGCTTGTGTGTACACAGGTGCTGGGTGCTCTACATCATGGTCCACGGTGCAGACAACATCACCACCACTACAGACTATCCACCGAGTCCTTACTGCCTCATCTTCAGTAACCGCAGAAAGGTAGGTAAGCACCAGGTGGCTAAGGTACTACATGTTCCTCCAGTAATGGCCTCTGCTTTCCATTTGCTTTCAAAATTTAAGACATTCATCAATAGACTATTTATCAAAATTAAAGCATTTCACAATTATTGGTATAAAATGAGGCATTTACTAACATACAGTATTAACATCATCAAAAATAAAAAGTATGCAGTCAAAGTTTTGCTAACTTTGACTGCATGCTTATTATTTTTAGTTCAAAATAAGTGTACCATATAATAATAATAATAATTATACGTAATTATATTTATTAAAAAATATGCAGAATTCGGTAGAGGATAAGTTTTTACATGAAAAGCATATTTAATAAAGCCACTAGTATGCAAAGCATTTCTATAACAATAAATACTTTCTAGGTGATTTTTTGTATTATATTATAGCTTAAAGTATGTACTGTACTTTCATGTTAACATAGTTGAATTAATGAGTGTCATGACACTCACACATTCCCCATTGTAATATATTCCAGTTATCTATAGTACAATATAATACATGTAAGAGGTTATCCATACAGGTGAAGACGACACACTACGTGTGCGAGTGTGGCTCACCACGGTGGGAGTGTGGGGTGGAGGTGCTGGTGAGGGACATAGCTGCTGTCACACTGGCACTAGCTGTCTGTTCTTTACCACGAGGCACTCAAGACACTGAGCTTCTAGGTCTAGCATCTCTTTCCCTTGCTACCGTGAGTTCACACAATGTTGCACTTCAAACTTCAACTTCGATTTGCCTCATATAATTCAAATAAACATATACTTAAAACCAAGATAGTCCTGGTAGAGTATATGACTATCTGTAAATTAACTTTAGAAAAGATTTGTGAATTTGTTTAATTCCTTATTGTACCTTATTTCTTCATGTACCTATTAGGTGTTATTTAAAACATTCAGTAGTGTTGTTTGTATTTCACCATATTTGATATTGTAGCATGATGTTGTACAAAACAGCTTGACTTGTTTGCACAGGTGGAGCTGCCTATGGTGCACCGCCAACTTCCTCTTACTCGTAGCCTTCCCACTCCCGGGGGTGTTACATCCTCAACGTCCTCGCCAGGGTTAGTGCTCTCTCATTCACTATACTAATATGATCCAATCATTGTTTCTACCTAACACACTAATAAGCAATTTTTACTCTAGCATTCCACTACCACTATCTTCACACTGATAAATGGTGATAAATCACCATTACCTCTTCACAGCTATATATTAATATTGTTTCCACCTTAACAGTATTTTCTGATTATTTCCCATCTCTCATATGCGTCAATATTTTTTTCCCACACAGGATGGTAACAGTGTCAGTAGTGTTTAGGTCTGTGCCATCTGTAGCTGGATGCAACATATCCTCGGCTGACTTGGGCTCGGACAGAGGGCCCCCTTCTACTGTAAGCCTTCCGCCACTCTCTCAGCCCTCCCCAACTCCTACCTCAGGATGTCAACGTAGATCCTCCCTCCCTTTGGCTGATGATGATGATTTGGCCTTCAAGAAGCGTGTAAACACACCGTGGTATAGTCAAGCAGTAAGTGACATGGTATACAGGGTCAAACATCAAGGAAATAGAATTTTAAATGCTGTTTAATTTCAATTCAATTCAATGTTTACTGAAAAGAATGTGTGAACAAAGAACATAAGAGTAATGTACAATTGTAGGGACAGGAGTTACACAGTCTATGAAGCCACTTTTACATAAAGCATTTCAGGCAAACTAATAAGTTTTAGATAAGAGATCATCAGATAAATTAAATTGTAGGTAAAAACATCAGTACATAACTGGAAATGCAATAAATAGCAATAAAACAATATAGATGAATAAAAAAACATAAATTAGAGTAAGAGAAAAAGGGCAGAATTAATTTTTGGCTTTAATTTACAATTAAATTACAGTGCATAAAATCCTGTTTTGAATATGCATGCTTATTTATTGTATTTATGATATTCTATACATAAGGAACACACATATGACCTGATTTTTATACTATCTAAAATTTGGTGTAATTATTTTTCATGATATCTGTGTTAAAAACACATTTAATTCGTATTAGAAATGAAATAAAAGGAGAAACCCAGAAGGAAAATACTTCCCAAAATTAAAAAAAAGTAATAATAATTCTTTGATGGTGACGGTGGTTGTATATGTAATAATATATATATCTTGGGAACATCCAACGTATGAACATCTGATCTTATGAACAGCCTCAAATTATCACTTTCAGCTCCCACCCCCCCCCTTGTCCTGCTATATAAACACTTCTGAACTGAAGTCCACACATGACGAACAGTGCTATTAATGCACTGCTGGATTTCAACTGTTTATCGAGTTAAAGTGCCTATTAATGGCTGTCAAGATGAAGGAATGTGTTGGAAGGGGACCAATGCTTATGCTTCATCTTTTATTACCTCCTCCTTTAGTAATTATACTTCTTTGATCTTCAAAAAGCATCATATCACACATACAGGACAATTCCATCATTCGAGGTATATAAAAAAGCATTTCTTATATTATTTCTCTCAAATATTTTGGTTTTATATGTTGATTTTTGATGGTCTATGAATGCATCCTCCATTTATAGCATTATGTCTATGGGAAGTCTGGTTCCAAGTTAGGAATGGGTGACTTATCAACATCTTTTCAGAACACATCCTGTTTGTAAGTTGGGAATTGCCTGTACAGTACCTTGATTCTTGGTTACTTGGACCATATAATCTATTAGAAAATAGTCTCTAGCAAATTTCTTTTTGTTTAATTTTATTTTACCATTAAATTTTCTGGGAATCAGAGATCCTTATAATAATGATAAAATCTCATCAAATACAAAAAGTCCTCCAAAACAAGTAACTGCTTGGAGAAACTTGTAACCCTCACAGTAACAATACAAATAAATGTTACCACCTGATACACCAAATGGCAGGCCAGATGACCCGGGGTCTCAGCCAGCTAGTCGGCTCATTCAGCCTGGTGTGTGATCAGGGTCACACCGCTCTGATTAGTGCGCCCCCCTCCCCCTCCCTCTGCCATATACATAATTGTTAATGGTTTACGTTGCAGACTCGACTCCTGGGAACAACCCGGGATGGAGAGAGTGGCACACAAGACATTGGAGACATAATTGCTTCTGGTTTGGGACTCATGGAGCTCACTATCATCCGGTAATATACTCTTTAGTTACTCAAATCTGTATTTACACAACCCATTGTACCTTCTTGTATATTGTATATGTTAATAAATAAATCAATAAATACAGGAAACGAATATGCAGGCAGTCCTTGATTTGTATGCGTTTTGAGAATGTGGATTAAGCACTTTTATACCACGTTCTGAATTGCACAAATAAATCTTTAAGATATGCAAGTTAATTGTGTATTAATGTGGATTAGTGTGGATAATCCATGCTAATTCACAGGTTCATTATATTCTCTGCATTGTGTCAGGCTTCAAAACAAGAATATGGCAGATATTCTTGTGTTTTGGATTATATTCTTGCATCATTGCACATCCTAAGCATTCTGAATTAGATTTTTCTGTATTTGTGGCTGGAAAATGAAAGTAACATTAAATGTTAATTTTCAAATAGGTACAGTCTTTCACCTGATCCCTCTGTTCTTTTAGCAGTAAATAGGCACTTGGGAGTTGTAAGTTAAGAGAGAATGACAGAGTTGCAGAATTTGACAGATTTGATGCAAGGAAAATGAGTGAGGAAACCAAATTGAGAAAGGAACTTTTTACTTATGTTCATGGAATAACATCCCAAGAACTCTGAAAAAATTTGATCAGACAATCTTTAAGAACAAATTGATTCATGAATTGACTTTGCAACCAGAACTCTTCTGTTGTTTTCCAGTGTAACTGATCCCACCTGATTTTATTGCTAAAATTAAACCCTCCACTGCATCTATACTGTTACTGAACCAGAATGAGACTACTGCATATTCTATCCTCATTACATCTTCATTCACTTAACCAAGCACTTCTTGATGCCTCCCGTCTTTCCCTTCCAGGGCACGTGACCTTGTGGCCAAAGATCTAAATGGTTACAGTGATCCATACTGTGTAGTAAAGGTCAGCGGAGAGGTTAAATACAGAACAAGGGTCAAGAAGAAGACACTTAACCCAGAGTGGGAGGAAAGTCTCATGACCCACCTACCTAAACACCCAGATGCTTTAGCCATCGTGAGTACATGTCCAATATATCACAGTATGTCAATTCACTGCAAATATTTTCCATATGTTTTAGCACTTGGTTGTTTTACAGTTTTTTAGTATATCTACATAATCAATCATCTACAATGATATTGTGAGCAACTTTGACATACCTTTATTTCATTTGTCATTACTTGAATCACTAGACTATTTTTATAACCAACAACTAACACAGAAACTACTTAACCTTGTTGTTATAGCAACAACCATGTTTAAATATATGGAAAGGAATTGCAATTACAGGTATCTGTACCTTCCATACAGGGCTGCAAATAAGTTGATTTTGATCATACTAATGCATATAAAACTGGAACATTGGTGTTTTTCTGAAGTGGCTGAAAATCCTCGAAGTACTTAGAGCCAAATCAATGTGTTGATTTTCAACAGACACTTTGGGACCACGATGCATTCGGGAGAGATTTTCTGGGTTCTGTGTCATTGCGGGAAGCAGATGTTCGGCAAATGTCCCTGGGTGATGCTCCTGTGTGGTGTGCCCTTGATGGTGCTAAATCTGGTCAGCTTGAAATTAGAGTCAAAGTTATCTCTGATGATTATGAGGTAAGGGACAGTTATGTTCATGTGCTGATTAATTATTAACATTAATTCATTTGTGTTACTGCAGAAATTGTAGTCATCTGCATTAGAGTTTCTTAAACTGACTATAAATAACTTCATAAAAATATCAGCATTGTGAGTGTACAACATTTTATGCGACTTTAGTGTAATTTTGTTTTATAATCAATTATTATTCCTAACTTATATAATGTATTCGGGATTTTTACCCATTTATTGCTTTCAGAATGAGTTTTTTGTTCTCTAGGTGGCCATGCTCACCTGCATGTTGGATTTAGTTTATGAGTTCTCTTTCTCTCTTTTTTTTACATAAAAAGGGTGCTCGGCTATATTTATAGGTCAATGACTGACTGATGACACTCATATACCTCGTTTTTTCCATGTTGGAAATAACATGGCTGAATTATGATGACCAAACTACACATCAGAGAGTGAAGAAACGACGACATTTTTTCATTTCATTATCAAGTCAATCCATGTGCCTCAATAGTGGTGCAGGACGGACCAAAACATTGTCGTTTCTTCACGCTCTGATGTGTGATTTGGTCATATTGGAAAACTTAATGAGGTTAGCTCCCACCATCTGGCTTCCTACACAGACAACAGACAGATATTCTACAAAATAGAAATGGACAAGAAGTAAAACGAAGAAGAAAAGTCGCTAGAACCATAAAAAGATGAGACTAACCAAATTATAACTGAAAGATAAAGATTATCAGTATGAAACATTCCATATTCCAACAGACTAACTTCCACTTTCCCAAACCAATCACAGAGCCTGACACCCTTCCCCCTCCCCTCGCCATCTACATGTTTATGACATCAGTTTTACCCAATCATTATACCATTTTAGCACAATGGTTTTCTTCTTCTAGATCCATAAATGATGCTCAACCTATTCAGAAACTTCTGTTTTTATGTTGTTATCAACTACATTTATAAAGGTACTGTAAATACTTCATCTGTACTATCACACACATTAACGACTTATTCACTTGTATTTTTTGTGTAGCAATTACTGGCTGTACACTTACACTTTCATAATGTGCTGTAGTGTACACACTTCATGTGTAGTGTGCAAGGTATTTATTATAGTCAATGGCCAGCTCTACATGGGAATGCATTACTAGACACCTAAAGATCTTGTGTAGAAATAGGGTTCATTCAAAGATATTACATAAACACTATAAATTATGTATTGTATGTATTGTGGAATTTCAAGGCTTATTAATATGATGTAACACAATTAAATGTATTTAATATTTTTCTGTATTAATTTAATGTTTATTAACAATGGAGCCCCTGTTCAACACAGTGTAGTATAAAAATATATGAACTTTAAATTGATATGAAAGTGTATTTCAGAGCAAGTTGCTTAACACTTTGAGGTTCCACAGACTGACTATCTCGTCACTCATTTTTCTACTGAATGTGTTCCAACGACGCAGTACTGAGTCACTCATTAAAATATTTTTTAAAAATTTAAATTTTATCAGATCAATCTGGTAGTGGTTTTAAAATAAGCGCCTTTAGATTGCACACAATTTGATACAAAAATCAAAGATATAACATGAAACTTGATGTCCAAACACTTGAAATATTATAAATAGGCCTATGGTCCGAATATTAAAATATTTGTTAAAATTCTATTTATTGTCCTATTATCTTGGGACTAGTTTTAAAATGCGCGACTTTTTATTGCGAACAATTTGATACCAAAATGAAAGATGTAACACAAATATTTATGTCAGAACACTGGAAAGTTATAAATAAATTTGTGATGATGAGCGTCCAGAATTAAAATATTTGTTAAAAATCCAGTTATTGCTCTATTATTCTGGGACTAGTTTTAAAATACTCGCCTTTTTATTGCGAACAATTTGATACCAAAACGAGCGACGTAGCACGAAATTTGATGTTATCAAATTTTGCATGAGTCTCTAAAGCGTAAGTCCACACTCAGTATGAGAGTGACATTGCATATTAGTGGTTTCATTTAATAAAGTTTTGAGGTGACTGTGCTAACCAGACACAAATTCCCAAAAGTAACTGAAAAGGTAGTGACCCTAAACCACTGTAGAGAAAAAACTCTGAGGGCTGTTGAACCTTGACAATCAACACCAGGAAAAAATTAACCCTGAAAATAGATAGCAATAATCAGTAACAGGCAAATGACTTAATACCATGTAAAGTGGACACAAAAGAATGGGATCCCAGGACACAGCATTGGACACAACAGACTCGAGTCATTGTAACTGAATTGGCCTCTACAGAGGTGGGTGCATAGCAGGTGGATGTCATGCAAAAATAAGGGCTGCCAGCTCTTACGACCCTTTAGCGGCAATCTGACTATTACTTGGTAGTAGTCAGAGTTGCAGTTAGCTCTGGACAATTGACTCCCCCTTGTGTTTCCAATTATATCACTTGTAAGAGGTGTTATGAGGTTTGCTGTGCTTTTTGGTATCTTATTGTGCAGCCTCTCTTGGCAGTGAATTGATACAGACTCTACTGCCTCCTCTCCCAAACTATGTGCCAAGACCATTTAAAAAAAGTTCTTCGTCATGGTGGGACACAAATCAACGTGCACCTAGTAGGTGAGCAATGCTCGGGTTGACCTTGATCATGGCAAGGTGCACAAATAAAGAAAAGGTCTTGTTCAGAAAATATTATAAAATAAAAATAATTTGTTATGGGGGTGAAGTATTAAAATAATGTATTTCCACTTTCAGATCACATTCCAGTCTTTAACCTAATAGAGTCTCTTGGGTAAAGCACATTAAACTCGATACAAATCACTTAGGCCAAATGCTGATCTACATGTATTTTTAACTGTTAGATCTAATTCACTATCATTTGCAATTGAAATTTGTGTACTGTATGTAGATTTACATGTTCAGCATTGAACATAATTTCTTTAACTATATAATTTAGTATGTTATATGACACTAACTTTTTATCCAGTATGGAAATATTTAAGATTTGTCTGGCTATTTTTCTGTTATATATGAATAATGTATTGTCACACATTTTCTCTCACCTGATGTCTGCTATAGATTGTTAATCGTTTTGTCTGATCTCTCCTCAGCACCAGATTAAGCCATTACAAGCCACAGTCAGAGTTGTTGGCAGGGAATTAACAGTGGGAGAAGACACACTGAAGGTTGAAGATGACTGTGTGATTGGTCAGGTTGAGGAGGATATAATAACCACGTCACTGGAGGAAGACTCCGGAGTCGTCTTACCAAACACTCCTCCCACACTCGAGGTAAAATTAAAGTGAAAAACTAAATTTTAATTCAGGTGTATAAATTGTATAGTATAATACGGGAACCGGTGGCTGAGCAGACAGAACACTGGACGCGTAATCCTGTGGTCCCGGGTTCGATCCCGGTCGCCGGCGAGAAACAATGGGCAGAGCTTCTTTCACCCTGATGCCCCTGTTACCTAGCAGTAAATAGGTACCTGGGAGTTAGTCAGCTGTCACGGGCTGCTTCCTGGGGTGGAGGCCTGGTCGAGGACCGGGTCGCGGGGACACTAAAGCCCCGAAATCATCTCAAAATAACCTCAAGATAATGACATTTGGTTACAGGTCAAGATTGATATTTGTCACTCCCTGAGTAAGAAAATACAGCACACTACCAATGCAAATAGACTTGTGTTAAATACACAGTCAGTACAAAAACACAGACTTGTGTTAAATGTCTGGGTCTGGTTTCCTGGACCAGAATTTCTTCTTTGTGGCTGCCTTGTAAACTCACTTATTTTTATATAAATATTTATGAGACTTCACTTAGTTTTGATGATTAAACTTTTCATAAAACATTAAAGTTCCAGATTTATATTAATGTAGTTTTGTAGTAAAAAAGTATCTTTTAAATTTGTAATTTTTGCAGGATGAGGATATGCCAACTTCTTGCGTGCCATCACACAATTTGCCCTATGCCAGCAATGGTGTCAGTGAGGCCCCAACACTCCCTAATGGAAGAAGAGCTAGCGAGTCTGCTGTTATTAACAGCACGAGGGACACAGTGCCTGATGATCGCAATGGCACCTTTAGTGGTTCTGCCACCCCATCTTGTTCTAGTCCAGTTCATTCTTCAACTAGGTCAAGGCGAACTGGTGCTAGGATCATTGCAAGTGCCCTATCAATGGCACGCTCCCGACCCAGGAATGAGACTTCTAGTGAAGCCTCATCCACTACAGCTAGTCCAACCAGAAGCCACCAAAGCCCAGTTTCCAAAACAGTTCCAAAGATCAGTCTTACAGAGCATAGTGAGGATGATTATGGAGGCAGCAGCCCTGAGCCTCATCGTAAAAATAAGAAGTCTTCTGATGGAGGCCTGCGTGCAGTGCGGGACAAGGTAGGCACATCACTGGTGTTTGGCTGCTGGCCCAGGCGGTAACCAGCATTATCTACTATAGAATTCATCACTTTATGCATGAAACTGCATTGTTATGTACCTGTTGTTTGTTGTGAAGTACAAATATATTTTAATAATAATGCACTTTGCAGTTTCTTCTTTTCCCACCTGCACTGGTAAATGTACTTGGTATTGATTGCATAGAGGCCAGATGTACTCAGAAGAGATATTCTTCAGAAATGCATGTATTGCCATTTGCTTAGTAGTTATTGGTAGATTTGCATCTAAAGCATGCTTATATATACCACCTGACTGACAAGACACTACATGAGAAACCACTATTGAAAAGTTATTTCACACTTTGTGAAATGTTTCAAACAATAACAGTATAATATTTCCTTTACAACTTCAGTAACCTTGATAAAGATGACTATTCCTTTCCACACAGTTTTCTTTACTTTTTTAACATTCAAAATGCAGCACTGTCTGTGGTCTGTTAAATTTGTTTCATATTCAGTGCTTTTGCAATTAACTATTTTCCCATTATTTGCATTTTTCTGTGTACTGTACATTTGTTATATATTCCTTTCTACTTTCTCACTTTTATATATTTACTGGGCAATGCTTATTCCTTTCACATACAGTATTTCCTTTTCCTCAGTGCAAGCAATTAATGAATATATCCCCAATTATCTCCTTCCTTACTGCATTACAAATATATCTCTTTCTTACTTAAAGTATTTACATATGAGCTTTGATGACCACTAATGACCTCAATTCCATCATTATCTAAAAGAAATTAACTATCTGCACCATAAGAACCATAATAAGTTTTGTCCTCGGATACTAATAATAATAAATATATACAGTACAGTATAAGAAAGAGTATGTACCACATGGTCACGGTGAGGCTTGAAGTGGGGATAGAAAAATAGTAGGGTAGTCGAGTATATTTAGTACCAGTATAAGAGTGTGTGTGCCAGGGTTTAACCCAGCTGCTGGCTAATCTGTTGGGTTGAGCACTGTACTCGGATATGGACATGCCATGTCTTACTCGTGCATCAGTGGTCCCAGAGTGCTGGATTGGCTCAGTACAGTATGTTTATTTTTTCTAAGGTTCAGGGAGAGTGGGGGTTGTCACAGTTGAAAGAGTTGAGCATAGTGGTTTTCATTGTACATTATATTATTTATGGTGGTGGATCTAGTGTAGTGTTGAAGAGCTTGTGTATGTTTATGGATCTGTGTATTGTGTCATTAAGGAATGCAGTGTAATTGCCTAAATGTAATTACAGGATGAGAGAGCTACGCTCGTGGTGTCCTGTCATTCCAGCACTTGTCCTAAAACGTTTTGAAACTACTGATGGTTTTGGCCTCCGCCACTACCTCCCTTAACTAACTTGTTCAAATCATTTACATCTACCACTCTGTAAAAGTGAATTTTCTTGTATATTTTTGGCAGCTTTGTTAGGTTAGCTTAAATCTACGACCTCTTGTCCTTGAAGTTCCAGGTCTAAAGAATTCTTCCTTATCAATTTTGTCGATTCCTGTTACTATTTTGTATATAATTATCATATTCCCTCTTTCTTCTATATCCTGGCTTGGGCATATTAAATGCCTCTAGCCTCTCCTTGTAGCTCTTTGTTTTCAGTTCCAGAAGCCATTTTATATCATGCCTTTGCACCTTTTCCAGTTTATTAATGTATTTCTGGTGATATGGGTACTATATAACCAATGCATAGTTAAATTTTAGTCTCACAAAAGTTGTGAACAGTTTTTTTAATATTTTACTATCCGTGTATTTAAAAGTGATTGTGAAGTTGGAAAGCATAGCAAATGATCCTTGCACAATGTCTTTTACGTGGTTCTTAGGTGACAATTTTCTATCTAGTGATGCATATGTTACGAGTGGGTGTATAAATGTTTTGTATAGATGTATCTGTGTGTGTATTTGGGTTTGTTAAGTCTGTGTAGTTGCGAGAGGTGTTTTTTGGGCTATGGCATTTTTTGGCCAATGTGTGTTAGGTTAGTTGTATGTTTGCTCAATTTATGCAAACATGCCACACAAATTTTGTAAAGGAGCCTAAAATATAGAACTACCTCCTTAGTGAAGTAAAGAATTACACACAATATAATGTTCAAAATTAATGTTATTAAGTATTTAATTGCCTCATTGTAGTACTTGACTGTCCAACATCCTACACATGTAGCCTACTGTTTCCCCTTCATATTTCTGCACTTACTCTTCATATTCTAACTACAGTTTTATATTACATTTACCTTGTACCAGTAATAATGACCTATTTCTTTGTGCTGTAAACTCATCTGTTATTTATCTCTTTGCTAACTACATCACCAGTACATTAGTCATTATAACTCCCCTTTCCCTTGTATCGGTTATTTTGTTTTAATCACAATCTAAACACAGTTTTCCACCAACATAACCAAAGTTTTATCCACTAGATCTATATTACCTGCATAAACTCCTTAAATCTTATAAATACTTTATTTTTTATTTAAAATACCAAACCATTTTGTTATGTAAGGCTTGCTCAAGATGCTATATGCAGTTAGGAATTTTGCAAAAATAAATTTCACTAACACTTTTTCTGTATACAGACAGCTACGTGAGTTCCAGACATAACTTCTATGGCTATCCCAATTTCTTGTTTTTGGTGATGGTCTGCATAAAGTGACAGATAAAGTTGTAAAGTGAGCACTCTGAATAAAATGTGTGATTAAGCAGTGAGAGCGAGCAGCAGCATGGTGTTGTGGTGCGGCATTGAAGCATTCATTCCTGTCCTTCAATACTGTATACCAGTACAGTACTGACAAAATTTATGAAAACCCATGCACCATGTCAGCTACAACTGCAGGTACTTTGTCAGTGATGACTGCTACAACTAGGAAACCTATGAGAAAGAATTCAGTAATGACTTTGAGTAGAAAGTAGAATGAATAAAGAAGGTGAAGAGTTGTATCCCAAGAAATGTTGTATGTAATTACTTAAGTGGTAATTATATGCCACATTTCTTGGGGTACAACTCTCCACCCAAATACCAAGTGAGCAAGACTACCCTTTCAGACATTATTAAGACTATACAGACAGTCAGGCTAGACAGTGAGTCAGCCTAGGCAGATATGCAGCCAAATCAAGTTGTAGAGATCGGTGGATGGTGATTACGTGCCATATTCTGGTACAGTTCCTTCTCTTTTCCCACTCAACCTGTATGATTGCATATCACCTGCTGTAGGATGATGTAACAATCAAAATACTGTTGCAAAAACCACTGTATTTTATTGTAGATTCAAACAAAGGAAATAAATCTACAAACAAAATTAGAAAGTTCACTTTTGCAAATAGAATGGTAAACGGTTGGAACAAGTTAAGTGAGAAAGTGATGGAGGCCAAAACCATCAGTACAGTAGTTTCAAAGCATCATATGACCAAGCATACTAGGAAGATGGAACACCACAAGTGTAGCTCTCACCCTGTAACTACACCTAATTCATTGTGTTGGGGGACAGGCAGCCAGAGTGTATTTCTACACATTAGGCTTATATTCGAGGTTCTTTTCTCCCCCGAGGTTAAATTACAGACCGCCCCCCCAGGATCTAATTACTTAGGTAATTACACCTACTCTCAGCACCCACACACATACTCACACCCCAACCCAATACCCACACCCCTAACTACTCCTGACACTCGTACTAGATAGGTGAAGTGAGTGAGTGAGGTCCTCTGTGTACTTGCTGGCTTCTTGGAGCTTTTTATGTATAGGATACAGTGTGGAATAACCATGAAGAACAAAGCAAATATACTGTACCCCCATGTAATACACAACTGACTCACTTCACCAGCTTGCATGAGCAGGTGTCACCGTGAGGCAAGCGTGCCCCAGCAAAGGGGAAATTCTGGCAGGGAAGAGTCAGGCAGGTAAGGGGCTATAATACTTTATGTCATTAGTTTAACTGATGTCCTCCTTTGGTCTTAAAATATGATTTATCTCAATTAGACAGAATTTATACCATCTGAAGTGAGTCGAGTTTAGTGTGATTACTAACAGTGGTGTCATAGTCAACCCAAGGTAAGGTGATTATCAGGAGAAAGAACTAAGCCATTACAACTACAGTATGTAGAATTTGGGAGGAATGAGGAGAAAGATTTGGGATAGGATAGAGGGATAAAATGGTGTTTAATCACTTGGATGGTCAGGGATTGAATGCCGAGCATTCTCTCTTATTTTCCTCTCCCACATTTGTTTGTGGCTTCATCTGATGGGCTATTACTGAAAATCAAGTATCCAAATGGCCAGTCTCCTGATATTAAATCAAGCTGTTCAGCAGTTGAACACTGACCTTAATTGAGATACAGCAGATACTCTTCCCAGTGTTTCTCCTCAACCCCTGCCAGCTCCCAAAGACAAAGGAATGCACTAGGAAGTGATGTGGTGGAGGCAGACTCCATACACAGTTTCAAATGTAGATATGATAAGAGACCAGTAGGCTCAGGAACCTGTACACCAGTTGATTGACAGTTGAGAGGCAGGACCAAAGAGCCAAAGCTCAACCCCTGCAAGCACAACTAGGTGGGTGAGTACAGACAGACAAACCCAGGGACAGAGAGAAAGAGAGATGGACAGTGACATAACATACAGTTTTGGGGCGTAGAATATTCTTTCATGAGTGAAGCCAGTAGCATAAAGTGTCAAGTATTATTAGTAACATAAGATATTACATATGCATATCATGAATACATTACAAAAACATCACAGTTGCTCACTATCAGTACTGTAGCTGGAAAATTGTTATGAGCTCTTATCAAGTAGCATAGCATATGCCATATACTGTATATCATTAGAAACATAGAAAATGCCACTTGCATCCTGTAGCACAGAATATATCCTATGCTTCATCAGTACCATAGAAAATGTCATGTGCATCATAAGTAGCATAAACTATACAGTGTACCATATGCTTTGTCAGTAGCATAGACTATGCCATATGCTTCATTAGTACCACATAAATGTCAGGTGCATCATTACTACCAAAGAAAATGTCACAATAAGAGAATATTTCTACAGAGCTGTATACTGTATTGATAAATAAAGTTACTTAACAGTCTTCTCTATAGTGTTATATTTTTGCTAACATCTGAAGTTTCTACATCACTGAACAACAATATGTGACCATCTCTTTGTCTACATCCAGTGGTGTGAGGTTATCACAATAGTGGCTGCTGGAGCTGCATAAAACATCACACCGCATTTCCCAATTTTTTGCATTTTTTTTAATGTCTATAGCCATTTTTTTTAATTTGAAAAATTAATGGTACTAAATTTTGTAATTGTTATAATTTTAAACCAGAAAGTCTCAATATTGTTTTCATAACCATAAAATGTAGAGCATCTGAAGCATGGCCGAGTACTTTTGCCATTATACAGTAGGCTTCAGATATATATATATATAAAAATAAGACTGAAAACCTGCAGTTTTGAGGCACCTTCCTGAGCATGAGCCATTTGGTCATCACATGTATATTGTAAGATCCACCGTCTCTTCTGGACAAGGATTGTGATAGTCTGGCATAAAGGGTCAAAACGGGCTGCATGATCTAAAAAAGAATTAAACCTTCTCAGTGACGCAAGTTATGTTGAAATGCTCTGCACATTAGTGGATTTATATGATTTACGTCATGTACCTATAAATACTCTACTCCATTCTATTTCAAATGTATTTTATATAAGTAAAAATTATTATTATTATTATTATTATAGGAAAGTTATGAATAATATCCCAATCTATGCACATAGCATTCAATGCAAAACCATTGTGATCATGGAAGCGAGTCACATAAACAGCTCACCTTATGATTCAAAAATTATCCCCGGGAAACTACACGAGTTTAAGTTTACAGTACATACTATGCCTTACATGGAATATACTTTATATCTGTCATTCAAAGTTGAACTGTATTTCAGTGATCATTTAATAGCTTTTATAAACTTGCAGAGAAGTACTTTTTAAAATGTATATGGTGGCACCAGTGCCAAGAATGTCACCTCTCTGGCAGTCACAATCTTTGTCCAGAGAACACTGCAGATGGTACCTCAGGAAAAGTGAATGTAAATAATACAGAACTATATGGTTTGTTAAATAGAGGTTTTGTAGTTTAAAGGATTTCCTAAAGTTAAATAAATATGTATGGCAAACTCATTAATTAAGGCGTGTGCATGTTGTAATATACCTTTTTTAATTATTATTCAATATATAAAAATCGTTTTAGAAAAATTACAGTAAGTCAATAGAAGTACATTTCATACATACGGGTTACTGTTTATACACCCACTATACAACCAAATTCGCTTAAATACGCTTTTTCAAATATTTGATATATAAAAAAGTATCTATGAAGTCAAAAGTAAATTTCTTACTTGATGCAAAATTAAATAAACTTGGTCTAAACAAATTAGTAATTAATTTAATAAATAAGGTACAGTACAATAATTTCATTAAATATATAGTACAAACCATCGATAACATTTTCAGAAATATGAATAAACTAAAATGCTTTGACTACAGTATTTGGCAAACTGGTTCTTGCCTGTATTAGTACAGTTCTGGCTGTTAAGTATATGGTTAATTTGTACATACAGTACATACATCACACCATATATATAAATAACAATGAGGCATATTATGGGTCACATCATTACTAGTTCTGTTCTTTTCCTGCTCTGCTATATTATCTCCACCCTTCCTGTGTGTGTGTGTGTGTGTGTGTGTGTGTGTGTGTGTGTGTGTAGTCTCCACCCTCCCTGTGTGTGTGTCGTCTCCACCCGCCCTGTGTGTGTGTCGTCTCCACCCTCCCTGTGTGTGTGTCGTCTCCACCCTCCCTGTGTGTGTGTGTGTGTGTGTGTGTGTGTGTGTGTGTGTGTGTGTTTAGTCTCTACCCTCCCTGTGTGTGTGTCGTCTCCACCCGCCCTGTGTGTGTGTGTGTGTGTGTGTAGTCTCTACCCTCCCTGTGTGTGTGTAGTCTCTACCCTCCCTGTGTGTGTGTGTGTGTGTAGTCTCCACCCTCCCTGTGTGTGTGTCGTCTCCACCCTCCCTATGTGTGTGTAGTCTCTACCCTCCCTGTGTGTGTCCCGTCTCCACCCTCCCTGTGTGTGTGTCGTCTCCACCCGCCCTGTGTGTGTGTCGTCTCCACCCTCCCTGTGTGTGTGTCGTCTCCACCCTCCCTGTGTGTGTGTCGTCTCCACCCTCCCTGTGTGTGTGTGTGTGTGTGTAGTCTCTACCCTCCCTGTGTGTGTGTGTGTGTGTGTAGTCTCCACCCTCCCTGTGTGTGTTCTCCCTATCTTAACTGTTCTCTGAACAATCCCTAAATGTGCTGCCCATCTGTCCTGAGTGTTATTTTTTCCTTTCTGCATGACCTTCTTATCAGGCCTCAGTACACCGTGTCTTAATTAAAGATGTTAATATATGCTTCTCTCATGTTTGTGTAGCCTTACTCTTTTTTTTAAGTGGTCACTCGAATTCTATTATTTTATCTTCATTTATCTTTTCTTACTATTTAAGGTATTTCATATTATCTTACTTTTATTGTAACTTTCTAGAGTTATCTCGATTATTGTCTTCATTTGTCAGTCTGATTGTTCCATGTTTAAAATGTCAGTCAGTTATGTCAACTCATTCTTAATTAGTACCTTTATTGAAGCTAACATGTTTCTCTTAATAAATTCTCTTTATAAAAATATTCATTCTTCATTCTGTTGCCTCTTAACTTTAATTATTTAGCATTATTCTGATCTGCTTTCACTTTTTCCTCTTCCCCTCTGCTTCAGCTTGATCTCTCCTGATTAGTGCATCTTTCCTTGCTCCACTTTTACCCAGCTTCCCTTTCTCCACTTGAACGTCTCATTATCCATTGCCTTTCCTTGGCGTGTAGACACATGCTTACCAAATATTTTGTAATCCGTGATAAACTCACGCCAGTCCCTCTGAAAAGTAGTTAAAGCCTGTGCCCTGCTTTACTAACTTCCACCCCTCCTGTCACCTCCCCACATCCTGCTTCCTACTTCCCATGGAGCATCTCTTCCCCACTTGGAGATGTTGCTCACCCCTCCCCATCCATCCTGGACACCCTCGCCCACCCTCAGATGCGCCGTGGTTTTGCGCATCCTCTCCGTCGCTTCCGGTCCGAGGCCAACGTTCGAGAGGACGCCGAGGTGCAGCCCCAGAACCTTCACCCCCGCCTGGAGCTGGCTCTAAGTGTGGGCACACCAGTGCGTGTGGGTGTGGGCGGGGGAGAGGGAGATGCCAGCGAGTTGCTGGATACACCGCTCACCCATGCTAAGTCTCAGCCCAACCTCCTCCTCATGGGCCCCGATGCTGCCAGACGTAAGACTCATCATGCCTATATGCACACTATGACTTCTTATTGTTCATATTCTTGTCTGTAAGGATCTTCCTCATAATTAAATACTGTACCTTCATCATCATCCTAATCTCTATATGTGCCTTTGCATCCCTTCCACCACTTTGCAGGATGGATATAGGATGTATCTATAGTAAATTTATCCAATCATTTAATACTGTACTGGTATGCTATGTACAGAACTATATCTGTGTGATATATACAGTACAGGATGTGTAAAATATGAAACAATAACCATACATTTAAAATGTATTCAATTAAAGCCAAGATATTTGTTGACAATGTGACTACAGTACCAGATATATACATTGTATATATATATATATATATATATAGCCATACAGTCCTGTGCTTGATTGCTATGTCAAACCTCTTGTGCATCACACCGTCGCCAAGGCCATGGAGATGGCTGGCTCCTGTTCATGTGCATGGCAATGCAAGCTTCTTGTTATTCCCAGAATCTCCATTTTTCATAAAAATACAGTTTAACTTAACATTTACAATTGGTTAATATGAGGTGTGACCAACTAAAGCAATATGTTTTATTCCTTAATGAGAATGTGCTGAACACAAGTTGTTGAAACTCGCTTGACTCTTTTCTGGCTCTATTTAAACTTTGTATTTTACTCATTGTTGAAAATATTTAAATTAAATTAAAAAATTAAAAAAACATTCTTATTTATTATTAAGTAAACTTGAGCTATTTTCAATAAGATGTTTAACAGATTTAGTGCAGGAGATTCTCAAGGGCAGATATTATGTTCTCTATTAATTTATGAAGTTTGTTAGCTAGTGTGATGTGTTGGTCTGCATGGTTTGGTTGAACATTATATATATAATCATTGAGCAATTATATGGAGCTCTTGCTGGTGATGTATATTTGGTTGGTGATGGAAAATAGTCTGGCTAAAAATAGAAACAGAACCAGTACTGTATAAACCACATTTTCTGACTGAATGGATCCCATGAAAAGAAAATATGTTTGATGACTAGTGTTTGTAAACATCACATGTACTGTAAACAGAGATGCAAAACTTGACAACATTTCTCGGCTATACCACTTAGTTGCTCCCTTAAGCCATGTCTGGCTCTCATAGTGAACTGACCAAACAATAGTTTGGTCAGTTCATTAGAGAACACACCAAGTACCCTTTCACTGTTGGGTGAACAGAGGCTACAGTTAAGGATTGGCACCCAGTCAATCCTCACCAGCCAGAATCCAGGCCAAAGCACTCGCGCAGCGCCGGGCAAGTGCTTTACCACTGCACCACGGGAGCTTAAGTCAAACATCCACTAGGATCTGATAAAGACCTTTTGTGCCCTCTGCAATCCTTTTACACTACTGTTCACAGGATGAGAATAAGGTGCACAGTAAACTAGCTCTGCTGCAGCAACAATCATGGATTTTTTTTTTTACTGTAGCTGAATAAACCTTCTGAAGGTCATTCCGGGTCATAAAGAGTAACTTACTGTGTCACTCTTTCCCCAATTAATGGCCTGGTGAAGGCTTTCAAAAAAAAAAAATCCCCACTGCATTAGGGAGAGATTGCTGACATGTTTATGTTATTATGTCTCTGTGAGAACCAGACATTGCTTAAGGATCAGTCAAGTGTTTCAGCAGAAATGAGCTTTTCAGCTACACTCAAATCCTAATATTTTTTTTTCATTTCACTCATTCTGAAAAAAAGTAGACAGAAAGCACAACACAATCTGGCAGTCAATTTTGATAGGTGGACTTTTTTTTCTGATAGATCAAAAACTGTACATCTTTCTGTGTTTGCTGTTAAAATTCTCAGAACAAATTTCCAGAAGAACATTAACTATTCTGGTGCAAAATCACACCAGAGGAACATAAAGTGGCTGTTAAACAAATCAGAATAATTATGATTGTTAGCGACTTTAAAATGAAAGAAAATTTCTAACAAATTTTATCATTCATGACAGTACATTATTGTATAAGGATTAAATAGATAATACTCCTATGATGATCATTCCAACTAATATAGGATTCTCAATTATTTGGTAATCAGTCATACATAAGTTGTAGTATTCAGTGCATTACTAGATCTGTTCCTTATGTAACCTACCCTAAAGTCAACTAGTATAATCTGTGGTAACTAGAAATGGTTACAGCCAGACCCGAGAGATTCTCAAACAGGGCAGATTTTTATAACATGCTACAGTAGCCTTCTGGTTAGATTCAGATATACAATAATACTAGTTCAGTGACACATACGTACCCAGTCCTCTCAATACTGTACTGTATCTAAATATTATAGTTTCGTCGGCTGCGAAAGTAGTGAGCAGCAACAGCAGTGGTCATGGACAGCAGCGTGCAGACATATTTGTGAACGTGCGTGGAGTTGCAGGGAGGGTGCAGGGCCTCCACATACCTCGCTCTGGCCTCCAGCTCTTCCTCAGGGTCCGCATCAGGTGGGTACTGGTGTGTCTCAGGTTATCACAAAATATATTTCATGTAACAAATGTGCCAAGGGATTAACTGTTAAGAGTCAGCCCATTGGAGAAATTGGACATCTCATCCCTCTCACACAAGATACTCACCTGCTTTACCAGTGATGAAAAGAACAGCAGCAGCAGCCTTGGCAGCAGCTTCAGCAGTAGTTTGAGCAGCAGTAGCAGCAGTGGCCGGAGTTCCAAAACTGTGGGCAGGTCTCGCCTGGTGCCTGCTTCTCCTTCTCCAACCTTTGACTGTGAGTGGCAAGTAGATAGCGAGTTATCACGGCGGGCGCTGCTTGTCCTCGAGGTTCGCACTGGTTCCAGGGAGCTCCTCAACTCTGCTAACATTGCTCTTGGAGATATCTTTACTGGTTAGTAATAAGGGTGTTTCATGGGGAGGTCCAGTATAGCAGTCTGTTGCTCACCAGTTGTACATGTCAGGTCTGGCTAGAAATGGCTCAATATATAATATGTTTCTATGATGGTTTTTGTAAACTGTATAGGCTTACGATAAGTATTTGATCCTTAATGATGTTTACTTACCTAGGATTTACAAACTACAAAAGATTTGAAACAACAAATGATAGGCTAACAGCAACAATCTTTAGGAGCCTTTTATATTTGATGACCTGTAATAGCAGTTCTGACATACTGTACTTTACAAATAATAGCCTTTCTTTACAGTTATAAACTAAATCATTGGCAAGCTAAATTGACCTAAAATGATTTGTGATCAATCAGCTTATCTCTGAATGTATGTGAATTACTATCATTAATATCTTAAAAATATTGCAAATAAAATAACCTTTTCTCAAAATTGTCTAGCTTGATGTAAAATATTGAATTTACTTATTTCCCTATTGCAGAGCCTGGGACTGAGGGCAGTGTGGAGACATGGGTTAACCTACAAGGAGGAGCCACACTTCACCTACGGGCCAGTCATGGTGGCCAGCCTCCTCACTCATCCCGACGCCGCTCTCTTTTCCGGTCATGGTCCCTCCACAAGCTTGGCAAAATCTGACAGCTGCTGCACCTGATATAACGAGCAGCCATTGCAATTGGATCTCTTCACGAGGCTTGAAAGGCTGTTTTCACAGAATATGCTGCTGTTAAGGTATGAATAGCAATCAGAGCTGTCTGAGAACCTATTCATACTCGTGGGGACCTGTCATAGTCATCTGAAACAATTGATCCCTTGCCTTAGAGGCTTTTGTCATAATCTATGAGGCTGTCAGTTTGGTCTGAGGAGCTGTCTGTGCCATCTCTTGTGTTTAAAACAGGATCTGTGAAGTTTTTACACAAATTTAAAAAAATTCAATATGAACTGTGATGCAGTTCACTGGCCCAGTGTGTTGGTAAATCTAAAGTGCTACTTCAATACTGTTAAGATTCAAAGACCATTTACATGACATGAAATATTTCTGTGCTTCTCATTGTCACTTGTTTTAGTGATTAGTGTTATAAACCATTTATGAACCTGCATTTGCTATATCTAGCAAGTAACTTGTGTAACAAGTAACCTTGAAGGTTAAAAATTTGAATCACATGTATTGCATTCCTTGTAATACTGGTTGTTAACTAAAAAGATAATTATGAAATGTATACAAGTGCTCATCTGACAATTTACAAAGGTTGTGGTATTTGGGATAAATATTTAGTCTAACTGATTCAGAAGTTTAGAAAAGATCATCATCTTACAAACAACAGGGATCAGATTGGGTCATATGTGAAATCCAAACATCCCTCCTTTGTAAGTTTGCAAGTTTTTATAAAGGTTTTACCCCCACATATAGAGACTTGCAACCTTTAATTTTCTTAAGACATGTAACACGAGCAGCCATGAGAGATAGGGAAGTGTGATCTCAGAAGTCATAAGTTAATATACGGGATGGATACACTGTAACTACGACCGAAACGTTTACATTAGGGTTGTATAGAATTGATCTCTCAGTGGTGAAGAATACATTACCTTTTTATCCTTCACAACAATCAAACCCAGACACAAAGTAGATATAAAATAGTGTATTTTAAACTTCTACATGAACTTTGAATTAAATAATGGATAGAAAATTAATTATTTGCTTACTGGAATTACAATAGGCATAAATATATTTACAGGCTAAAAAATATCAAACTTGGTGCTTCACTGAATGTTACACAAGTGTTCAAAACTAGTTAGATTCATGTAACTAGAGCTAAAATACAAGACCAAAGATATTCCTAGTCAGTACAACAAAAGTGCAGCTTAAAATTGTCAACATTTTCAAGGTTCTGGGGATGTTTTATTTGAAGTTTTAGTGTTAAGCAGGATGGCTAAGATATGTGTTGCCAACAGAAAATGTTACCCCAAAAATTTACATAAGAAAATGGGAAAAAGTTTGGTAAAACACATGCTTGCATTCAAAATGCGAGCTTCCACAATGGTACTGTATAATATTAGTACGTGTAATGTGTAAGGAACCCTCTAACAAATTACAGCCTTATCCAACAAATATTTGAATGCAAGCAATGATAAAACTAAGACTTCGCTAACAGGACAATATAGGACCACAGCTCTGCCTGTCACCGAAGATCCTCACCATTTTATATTTCAGGTAAACCCTTTAAACTTTTTGTCACTAAAATGCAGCTCTAACATGTAGCATTATAGGTATTTCCACCAGTTATTTATGTATTTAAAATGATGATTTTAAATTATATGTTTTGGTTCAAAAGTTGTGATGTACTGCTGTTTACTGAATATCAACTCTGGTCAGAGTGGGGCAGTGTCAGTGCAGATGCAGAGGACTGTTGACCTTACCTGGAGTCAACAACACCTGGAGAATACCTGGAGAGGGTTTCGAGAGTTCTTCTACTCCCCAAGATTGGCTTGGGGCCAGGCCAATCTTACAAGTCATGTGGTTCATGTCTATATTCACAAACTGAATAATTTTGTGAGTGTATGAAGATATTCTTGTGTTTGTATACAATATATGTATAATAAACATTCCTACTGAACATGTTTATACTGTATACGCATGTCACCTTGTATCTTATTACTGTATATGACTTGAGTCATGTTAAGTCTTCACCTGCAGCTATAATTAAATACACGTACCTCAATATATAAAGGAGAAAATAGCAAACCACATCATCAAATTCACAAATGACATGATGATCTATGGTACAGTAGAGAATGAACTCAATATTGCCAGAAGACTTGCAAACACTTAAGTGTTTAAAAATGCAGTGCCTTACAGGTAGGACAAGACAAGACATGTTCATAACTACCATATTAACATTACCCTGTAGAAAAAGAGGATGAGTATAGCATACACAATAAATTCCTACAACAAAGAGGAGGATGGGGTGCTCAATAAACTATTATTCACAGGATGAGTATGGGTGCACTATAAACTAATGCACACTTAAAAAAAAATTTAATTAAAAAAAAATCTAAAAAAAAAAGTTAGGCGAGGTGGTAGTGGAGGCCAAAACCATCAGTAATTTCAAAGTGTTATATGCTAGAGTGCAAAACTCTATATGCACTCGCAAAACGCCAGAAATGTTTCGTGAGTGTTTTACGTTTCGAAACGTAAGAAACGTCTTACCACTATGCCACGGGGACTGCAAAATACTTCACCCACATACTACAAATACAAATAATCACCAACAGAACCTAAACACCTAACCTTACCAAAGCCTAAATATGCACAGTATGCTAATATATAACAATATTAATTTATATGAAAAAATTTCAATTTTAAATGAACAGCATGTTAAAATTGATGAATACACCTTTGGGGTCGACTGCTGGATAGAATGGACTTGGTCTAAGGATGGGTTGACTACCGGGATGATAAATATCTTGTGTCTAACTGAAATATTTGGCCATTTGATGTCCAAATTATTTATGCCTAATTTGATATTTGGACATAATAATATCCAAACCACACATCAGAAATTAAAGAAATATGACTTGTTCATTTACCTAAGCAGGTTATAGTCTTGATGAGCTAGTTACAAAATTTAACGTATATTGTTACATCAACAATGTGTTTGAAACTGACCACAAGTACAGTCTCTAAATTCAGCAACTTACATATGTGAAGAGCTAGTGTCATAAGCTCTCATTTTGTTACCTTTATTCTTTACCATAAGGACCTGCCTGAAACGACGTGCATGCTATTGGCTTTGCAAGAACGTAATTTGTCAACCCTATGTATACCTTCTTGTATAGAAATAAAACAATTCACCAGGGCAAATGGAGGGGGACCTTCGACAAGACGCCAGCTTCCTGTCCTCGTCGAGGCCACTAGTGTTAATGGCTCTCTGATCAATTGAACAAATCAGATTATGAAACTAGCTCACCGTATATGTAAACTACTTTGTTTAAGAGGCAGTAGTTGTGTTAACTCATTGTTGTGGTCATTTCAGTCTTTGATTCATAAAGCTGTGTCCCAGTATCGGGGCTGGTCACTTCGTACACAACCTGGAGCCCATTTGGGCCATTTCCCACACAAAATGTGTACGTTTTGAATATATATTATATATTTTATATATAATATAAACACAACTCTAGTTAACAAACAGCCCAAGAGCCCATCCAAACTCCATTCCTAGCTCTACCAAACAAAGACTTCCTTAGCTCTACCTAAAACCCTCCATTTGTCCTAGAAACTAACTATGGAGCCATAGCAAACAAAAATTGAGCTCTGTACGAAAAAAGAATCCTGGATTTTTAGCAAACATACAACCATGGAGGCCTAGCAAACAAACCTGGAATACTAGTACACAAACAACCCCTGGAGCACAACCATGGACGGTCCGGAACCCGATCATGAGCAACTAGAAGCCCAACAAGGCACACCCTCGGAGCCCGACCAGTTGTGTAATCGCAAGTCTAGCAAGCAAATATCTCATCCAACCCCCCACCAATGTGTTAAGTGGGGTGCCACAGGGGTTCATTTTGGGGCCAACCCTTTTTGTCATATACATTAGTTAAACCATATAATTTTTGTCATATATTTTTGTCACATTTTGTCAAATTTTGTCACATCAATCAATCAAATTTTGTCACATCAATCAATCAAATTTTGTCACATTTTTGTCAAATTTTGTCACATTTTTTGTCACATTTTTGTCACACACATTTTTGTCATATGCCATATAAACATTTTTGTCATATACCTAGTTAAACACAAGACAAAGTTAGAGAAGATTCAGCGGTATGCCACCAGGCTCGTCCCGGAACTGAGAGGATTGAGCTACGAGGAAAGGCTAAAGGAGCTGAACCTCACATCCCTGGAAAACAGAAGAGTAAGGGGAGACATGATAACCACCTACAAAATTCTCAGGGGAATTGACAGGGTGGACAAAGACAAACTCTTCAGCACGGGTGGGACACGAACAAGGGGACACAGGTGGAAACTTAGTACCCAGATGAGCCACAGAGACGTTAGAAAGAATTTTTTCAGTGTCAGAGTAGTTAATAAATGGAATGCACTAGGAAGTGATGTGGTGGAGGCTGACTCCATACACAGTTTCAAATGTAGGTATGATAGAGCCCAGTAGGCTCAGGAATCTGTACACCAGTTGATTGACAGTTGAGAGGCGGGACCAAAGAGCCAAAGCTCAACCCCCGCAAGCACAATTAGGTGAGTACAATTAGGTGAGTACATCAATGACATAGATGAGAATAATACAAACCACATCAAATTTGCAGATGACACTAAGATCTATGATAAAGTGGGAAGTGAAAGTCATATTGAAACCTTACAAAGAGATTTACAGTTATTTTGGAAACTGCAGGGGGGGGGGAGCAAAATGTGACCCATCGTCGTTTTCAGTAACTGGCATATATTCGGTATAAAAGGTCGTAATTTCAAACTGCATATATGTGCAGAGAGCCAGAATTTGGCTCCAAAATATTGCTCAGGAGTCAGATTTGGGATATTTGCGATATTTTGAAAACTGCAGGGGGGTTTGGGCAAAATATGACCCATCGCCGTTTTCAGTAATTGCCATATTTTCGGTATAAAAGCTTGTAATTTGAAAATGAAAATAGGTGCAGTCAGAATTTGGCTCAAAATTCACGATTAGGAGTCAAATTTCCGACATTTCAGATATTTTGAAAACTGCAGGGGGGTTTGGGCAAAATATAACCCATCGCCGTTTTCAGTAATTGGCCTATTTTCGGTATAAAAGGTCGTAATTTGAAAAGGAAAATAGGTGCAGAGAGTCAGAATTCGGCTCAAAAATCACGCTCAGGAGTCAAATTTCCGACATTTCAGATATTTTGAAAACTGCAGGGGGGTTTGGGCAAAATATGAGCCATCGCCGTTTTCAGTAATTAGCCTATTTTTCGTATAAAAGGTCGTAATTTGAAAAGGAAAATAGGTGCAGAGAGTCAGAATTTGGCTCAAAAATCATGCTCAGGAGTCAAATTTCCGACATTTCAGATATTTTGAAAACTGCAGGGGGGTTTGGGCAAAATATGACCCATCGCCGTTTTCAGTAATTGGCCTATTTTCCGTATAAAAGGTCGTAATTTGAAAATGAAAATAAGTGCAGAGTCAGAATTCGGCTCAAAAATCACGCTCAGGAGTCAAATTTCCGACATTTCAGATATTTTGAAAACTGCAGGGGGGTTTGGGCAAAATATGACCCATCCATGTTTTTATTAATTGGCCTATTTTCCGTATAAAAGGTCGTAATTTGAAAATGAAAATAGATGCAGAGAGTCAGAATTCGGCTCAAAATTCACGCTCAGGAGTGAAATTTCCGACATTTCAGATATTTTGAAAACTGCAGGGGGGTTTGGGCAAAATATGACCCATCGCCGTTTTTAGTAATTGGCCTATTTTCCGTATAAAAGGTCGTAATTTGAAAATGAAAATAAGTGCAGAGTCAGAATTCGGCTCAAAAATCACGCTCAGGAGTCAAATTTCCGACATTTCAGATATTTTGAAAACTGCAGGGGGGTTTGGGCAAAATATGACCTATCCCCGTTTTCAGTAATTGGCATATTTTCTGCGCAATTGTTTCTTTGTCCCACTTTCAGAAACATCGCTTTGTTGTTGCAAAGCTGAGACCATTTTGTGAACTGGACAGTCACTTGTCACTAAACTTAGTTTTTAAACTATTAACTTGATGAAATAATATTATCTTATACAGGAGAATACAAGAATGAATCATACAAGAATGTAACAACTCTTGTATAAATAAAAAAAAATCTGAATATGCACTGCAATAAATTTGAGGAATGAGGCTTTGGGTTGGGCGGTGGCGTAGGCGAGCCTGGCCTGAGGACAGGCAACTGTAAATGCTTCACCCTCCACATACTTCAAGTGCAAATAATTGCCAACAGAACCTAAATACCGAAACTACTATACGCCTAATTAAACCTAGAATATAAAATTAATTTATACACGATAAAAACTATTTTTAATACACAGTACATGAAAGTCGATAATAAATGCGTGTCTTGGAAAGTGAGGGGTCGACCGCCGCGTTAACAAGCCTAGCCTGACGACAGGGTGGTTTAACACACTAGGGAAGTGTATTCTACATAATATCCTACCCATATAATGTTGGCAAATTATGATCCTCAAAATCTTCCACAATATCCGAGAGAGGACAGACTATTTAGCATTAGTGGAATACAAAGACGGTCACTACAGAACCCGGATGAAAAACAAAATAATACGGAAACAATGACCCTCGGAGACATTACAAAAACTCAAAGTTATGATAGAGCTGATGAGTTAGCCAAAGAATCTGCCTTTAAAGGAGACCTTGAGTGTAACTTTGGATTGTCAATGAGCAATCTGAGAGCAGCAGTACACCGAGAACTTCAACAAGATCTTGTAGATCTGAGGCAAAGTGAAATTGACAGCAGTAATTCCATCCATCATCATACTATCACGCAAGAGGAGCCACACATCTATGGATCATCCAATAAATTCAGCAGACTTCTAGCTCATCAAGATTGTAACTTGCTTAGCTAAATGAATTGT